CTCGACACTAAAATACATTTGCAAAACATTTTTGATATGTGAATGTTGAAATCAAATATCATATTAATTTTAAAAATTTATATTTTATTGAGTGAAAGTCACAAACTATCATCTATTTAAACTATATTTCACCCATTTTTCTTGTTCTGCAATGCAGTTTACTTGGTAGCTTAATGTAGTTAAGATTTAAACTGCATTGTTGTTTCTGAGTGTGAGCTGTGATTGAATAAGTCTGATTAAATAAGTAGGCGGTGTTTGTTCGTGTGATGATGAATGAGATAATGTTTGTGTGATCAGTGTGTGTATTTACATGATTGACTTAATGTGTGTTTGTCAAAAGGTTAATTATTGTGTGTGTGATAGAATCAACTCGGTCGGCATGATGAATGTGTGGTTTGTTAGTGTGATGTACTCATGTCTGTGCGTGTGCGCGCTCTCGCTGTTATATCACGTGATTTGTATCATATGACCACAGCTGTATAAGTTTAGTAACACACGGCTTGTCAACAGTACTGCAGGTACGCGGAAGGACGAGAAGGACACGTATTTTTTGGTCCTTGCGTCCTGGTTATTGTTGAACCCCGCGTTTATTTCTACTGTTTGTCCTCCGTCTGGCTTGTTGTGAGGATGCGCGCGCTTTCCGTTATTGTTTTGTTTGCGTTTATAGCCGGGGCTGCGGCCGATACTCCGGCAAACTGCACATATGAGGACCTGCTGGGCACCTGGATCTTCAGTGTGTCCAATGTGGGTCAGGACAAGACCATCAACTGCTCCAGTACAGGTCAGAAAAACATATTTAGACAACCGGAAGTTCGAGGTTGCTTTCGGTTTCATATCGATATCAGGATGTTGACTTTGTTTACTTTTATAAAGTAACAATACTCCTTGCTGAAAGATACTTGAGGTAAAGTTGGTTTTCATTCATTCATTCATTCATTCATTTTTTGTCGGCTTAGTCCCTTTATTAATCCGGATTCGCCACAGCGGAATGAACCGACACATATCAAGCACATTTTTACGCAGCGGATGCCCTTCCATCTGCAACCCTCTGTGAAAGTTGGTTTTAAACTCGCACTTTCTTCTTAATTATAAAATGTCAGATAAGTGTTAGCAACTTCTAAACAGTGACATTTCTATTAGCAGCCAATGACCATCAAAGTACATTGTTCACAGTCAATTAATAAGTGTTAATCTTGTTTTATAGTCACTCTTGCATGCGATTTCAGACCCAATATTCAAACTAGTTTTAGTAAACAATATATTGAGCATGTCACAAGATGTCACTGAATGAATATGCAAATATAAAGCCAACTTTACCTCAATAATCCTAAGGGAGTTTTGTTTACTCTTGTTTAAGTAAAGTTGCTTCCTGTTACACCCTGCTGTAAACAAGCAAACATTAGAAACTGTCATATAATCTATATATTTTTAAATGCTTATAATGGCAAATTACGTTGGTTTTATTTGAATTAACCTTAATGATTTAGTGAGTCTCTACTGGTAATGTTTGCTTATACTGGTGGCATGCTAACACCAACAAAGCCAAGTGGAATTTTTCCCAGAACCCAATAGAACATTTGAAACTGTAAAGTTAAAATGTTAACAGATTAGAGCTTCCATACTGCACGCAGACGCAGTGCGTCATTGAAGTGGTGCGATAGTTTCACCGCTGGGTCTATTTTTGCCGGTGCATTGATATTGACAATGACCAAAAACGCATTGAATGAGCAATTTTACCCAATAACTGCATCAATAATACCCACAGATTTTTATATATTCAATCAAACAAACTTAAACGATTAAAACGACAACAAATATTCAGTTGGGTCTGAACTACAAACCTTTAAAATTTAAAACAATCTTAAACTAGTGGGGTTTTAAAATCAATAAATGCAAATAACCGTGATTATTTCTTCGACTATAATCATACAGCTAAAATTTATAATCGTTGCATCCCTAGTCCTATGCTAACTGTTTTAAAACGCAGTAAAAATCCCTGCATAGACAACCTTTGTGGATATGACAGGTGCATCTAAACGCAAGACTTCCAGAAAGTCCCATGACTGTGCATATCACCAAATCTACTTCCTCAAGTCTGTAAATAATCATGTTTCAACAGGCCAGGCGGTGAGCACGGTGACTGTGGACCTGCAGAAGCTGTCCGTAGCTGTGGATGATCTGGGTCACACAGGCTTTTTCACACTCATCTATAACCAGGGCTTCGAGGTGGTGATCAATGAATACAAATGGTTCGGGTTTTTCAAGGCAAGTCTGACTGGACAGTTTCCGTCTCAAGTGACACCACATGACTGATCAAATGACTGTGGTTTCGCAACACAGGGGAAATTCTGACTTCAGCTTTTTTTTTTTTATTTTCACTATACTAGCAGGCTATAAATATGGTGTTACTTTACAAATGCAGTTTATTTCTTAATGACTTTATAGGATCAAAATTCCATTATTGTTTTGGTTTGATTTAATATTACATTAAGGCTTTAAAATGCATTGATTTGATTGGTCTTAAAGGGATAGTTCACATGGAAATTCTGTAATTACCTCAGCCTTTTCTTTGAGTTTCTTCTGATGAACACAAAAGAAGATATCCTGAAGAAAGCTGGAAACCTGTAACCATTGACTTTCGTAGCATTTGTTTCAGTCAATGAAAGATTGTTATAGTAAATGGTTTTCAACTATTTTCAAAATATCTTATGACTGATAAAGATTTGGAGCCATTCGAGGGAGAGTAATACTGGGTAACATTTTATTTTTGGGTGTACTATCCCTTTAAATATGTTTGTCACATTACCTCATTACCACATTATTTGACTTTTAACCCTCTACTGCACACATTATCATCAATCTGTAAAAAAAAAAAAAAAAAAAACATATTTCTGTTTTTCTTTTCTTAATATGGCTTAACTTGAAGTGCTGTAAAAAAAAATTGGAAAAATGTCTTTTTTTTTTTTAAAGTCACTTCATGAAATGTTGCCATATGGCAACAACGTCCAACAGTGGATCTTAGAAATTTCAAATTTAAAACTTTCTTTATAATTAATTTTGTTGTTTGAAATAATTTAATTGGTGTTGCAGTATTATGAGCTTTAACACAGAACTTATAAATGACACCTTATACATGCTTTCCAACAACTGATATTCCAGCAGCTTTCATTTATTTAATTCCTTTTTGCTAAATATTATTGAAAACAATCGTAATTTAGTATTATTATGTATACAACATATGATAAATATAAATATTTTCTCCAGTAAATATTATAACAAATAAATAACAAGTCTAATATATCCAGATGCATCAGAATAATGTAGCTACTAGCTAACAATGTTTATATATTATACTATATACTACACTACACCTGTCTTATCTGCCTCTGAGCTAACTTGCCTAAACCATCTCTGTAACTCTTTATAATAACTACACACTATGAACCATTTATTAAGCATTAGCAAAGATAATTCATTATCTGATGAGCATTAATTCTACATTAATAAATGTTAGTAAGCAGTTTATAACTGCAGCTACAAATGCTCTATTCTTGACTTATAAGCACATTTATAATGTGCTTAATAATTGTACTTTCATACTTTAACAATTTATTTTTCGCTACTAAATTAAGTATTGCATTATTTACAAACCATTTATTTAAGTATAGTTGGTTGTTTTTTAAGATCATTCAGAATGAGTTTGTAAATGATTAATAAACTATTGAAATTAACATTTATAATTCTTATTATTCAGGCATATACTAATAGTTAATTTGTATGTTAATAAATGCCTTATTAACTCAACTTCATGCAGTTTTGTGACCTAATCTATAGTGAGGACTGATTTTCCTTCATAAATCTCCTATAAATGACTATTAAAGGCTCAGGTTCTAAACAGGAAAAAAAAGAACATAAACGACTTTATTCATTCCTATTCGTTTAAAGACACACAAGTGAAATTGTATCAAATGAAAAATCTTTGCAACCTTTTTAAAAATAAAATTACTATACAGTTTAAACCTCGCATCTTTTTATATATTGTTAAATTATTATATTGTTGTTTTATCCAGTTTTATGTTATATTTCGACACTCCTGTTATTTTGCAATGTTTAAACTTCACAGTAATTTTACTTTTTAAATAAGATTGCAAAGATTATAGTTAATTTGATCCTGAGCATTTAATAATCATTTATAAGGGATTTATAAAGCATTAATAGTCCTCACTTTAGATTAGGTCACAAAACTGCATGAAGTTGAGTTAATAAAGCATTTATTCACTTTAGTTAACTATTAGTATATGCCTGAATAATAAGACATATAAATGTTGATTTGAATAGTTAACTAATCATTTACTAACTCATTCTGAATTATCTTAAAAACCATTGACTACTCTTAAATACAAATGGTTTGTAAATAATGCAATACTTAATTTAGTAATGAAAAATAAACCATTAACAAAGTACGAAAGTACAGTTATTAAGCACATTATAAATGTGGTTAAAAGTCAATAATACAGCATTTGTAGCGGCAGTTATAAACTGCTTACTAACGCTTATTAATTTTGAGTTAATGCTTAACAAAAAATAAATTCATTAGTTGCTAATGCTTAGTAAATGATTCATAGTGTGTAGTTATTATAAAGTTTTACCACTGTCTCTATCAAATGTCCTGTCTGCATCTTTCTCATGGTCACTAAAACCCATCTCACCCTCACTTTCATCTGCAGGAGGAGCCAGTTCTGTCCTTTTCTTCTTTTACTTACTATAGAACATGGTGGTGCTCGCTAATACACTGTTCCCTGTATTCATATCTATTCAAAAGTAGCATTGCCATTAAAACTAGATTTTATCCATAATACAATGCCATCAACATTATATTAATAGCATTCATGTTGTTATTGTTACAACTTAAAAGTTCACAGCTGACCTTGCTTGCTAGCTAACCCATTGCAATATTGCACTTTCCACTATTGCACAGTGTTGCCATTTGTTAACATGTACATTTGATCGATTTACAAAAAACTAATTTGATTAAAAAATTGAGTATGTCACCATAACTTACTGGAGGTGATGTTTCAGGTATTTTGGTGGATCTGACATAATTTGCCCTACTGAAAAAAAACTGCTTAAACCAGCCTAGGCTGGTTTAAGCTGGATTTTCCAGCAGGGTGATCCTTTTGTTTTTATTGACGTTAACATTTGCATTCAGCAGCTACTCGCAATAAACGGCAGTCTGTCAGAAATCGCGCTACAGGAAAACACTGGATGTCATGTGACTTACCCAAAGCACATCATTGGCTACTCCAAGGTCTTCTCTTTCAAACAAAAAAAAATTATGTTGGTCTTAAAGAAACAGTGGCAGGGAAATAAACATAAGTATCATGTTGCCATATGGTTACACCGTGCAGTAGAGGGTTAAATAACTAACATCAACAAAAATACCATAATAAATGTATTCCTAATTGGTTATGTTAATAAATGTATTAACTAATGGACCATTACTTTTAAAGGGTAGCATTTTTACAATAGGGTTGTATTAGTTAATGTTAGCTTACTAAGATGAACAAACCATGAGTATACATTTCATACAGTATTTGTTCATGTTAGTTTAAATTAGCTAATGGAAATGTTAACTCGCAGTGCATTAATGTTAACCAGCATGAGTTTGCATGTTAATAATGCATTATTTAATGTCGAACTATGATTAATAAATGCGAGTGTTCATTATTAGTTCATGTTAGTAAATAAAAACTGATGAAACCTATTAAGTGTTACCAGAAAAACTCTTTTGAAAGCAACTGTATTTGATTCTCTCTTTCTGTCTGCATCTAGTATACTCAGCAGGGCTCAGAGGTGGTGAGTTACTGCGATCAGACGCTGCCCGGTTGGGTTCATGATGTTTTGGGCAGTAACTGGGCCTGTTTCACCGGGAAGAAAGTGCAGCCCATCCCTCCCCGAGTGGACCGTCGTCACATGCTTGGATTTGAGCACAGACTGTGAGTGTGTGATTGTGTCAGCACAGCAGTGTTCGTGATGTAACGCTCTCTTATCTCTCTCTCTCTCTACAGCTTGATTAGATCTCATGTGACTCAATCTGAACTGCACTACATGACTGAGTGATTGATGTACAGTCCAAGACAAATTTATTAGCCCTTCTGCCGTTTGATAAAATCTCTTTTCACATATATCCCAAGTGATGTTTAACAAAGCAATTTCTACAATATTTTCCATAATATATATATATTTTTTTTGGAAAGTCTTATTTGAAAGTTTTATGGCTGATTTCAAAGTATAGCTATTAGGGTTGGGCCGATAGACGATGCCATTGTCCATTACCGATGGCCGACAGACACCACGAACCTCTGCCCTGCCCCCATTGCAAATCCGCTCGCAAAAATACACACTCAGGCCCCGTTTACACTAGTATGTTTTTAGATGTCATTTTAAAACGAAAATGATCCACATCCACCCTGGCATTTCATTAGCTTTTCTGAGAGGCCCTCTTTCCACACTACCGCTGAGAACGCACATCATGTGACCATACACACACACACACACACACACACTGTCATGCTCGAGACAGCTGGTCCAGGCAGTCAGTCGGTCAGTAGACCGATTCAATCATTCGCTTTCACGCTTGTAGTTAGTCTTTTTAGTGAAAAGAAAACCTCAGATACCAGGGCCGGACTGGGACAAAAATTCAGCCCTGGCACTGTTGCCACACCAGCCCACATTACCACACCGACACAGCCCCATCCACGGACACGCACATTCACGATTTATTTTGGTGTAAAGATGGTGAAATAATATGACCTATATGATATAATATGATATAATATAACCTTGGATTGGGTCGGCCCATGTTGAAACGAGGCGGCAGTTGCCGATTGGGCCAAATGCTTAACATTTATTATTATTATTATTTTTATTATCATCATCATCATAATATTACATCTAGCAAGAGATGAAAGGTGTCTGTACTTAAAAACAATACATACTAAAATAAAAACGACCGGCCCAGATTACAAAATTGGTCCGGCCCTTCTGGCATTTGCCAGATTGCCAGTCCGCCTCTGTCAGATACTGTTGCTTGGTTCCTGTTGGTTGTGCACCTGTTTTACCAACCAAGTTTGTCGACGCCATTATACCGACACTGATTACTCTAACTATTCATGAGTCCTGCAAAAAAAGTGATTGACGGGTGGTAATTATGTGTGTAACTATCTTTATACATTTATGATTTGGTTATGGGTAAAACAAAGACCATGCGGGTTTCCTAGTTAAAACGCTAGGCTACAAATAAATATTTCGTTATGAATTAATTCATTATTCCTAATTAACTCGCCTCCGCCTATGACGATGATGCCATCGTCCATCGCGATGTTTCATATTAGACATGGTGGGATGCCAAATTGGTCGACATCGCCCAACCCTAATAGTTAACATGACTACAATGTTAACAAATGATAACAAAGCCTTTTCATTTTTTTCACTTACTTTACCAGTGCCTTGGACCATGCCTATTTTGTTTATCTTTATAAATTCCTTATCCAAAGAGCACCGACACATTAACTACCCCCAAAACACTTTTTGGTTCGAAGTCCTATTTCCTTTACTTTGACTAGTTTTACATTTTTCCAATTTTTAAGCATAAGCATAAAAGTTAAGTTCGATAATGTTAGCAACACTTCATTTTCTCTCTTTCTTTCTTTTTTTTTTTACAGAAAAAATCAAACTGTTTTTATGTATTTTGGAATTTAACATAAAAAATGCTTAATGGAAACGCCAATATGCACATACATTTTGCAAATGTGAATAATAAAAAAAGTATGCGCACAACTGAGAAGGATAAACTTTTATCACATAAGAAAAAATGTGCATAAACTACAATGGGAACACTTTTACAGAGTAAATACATGGTAATTTATTATTTTTAGTTGTTTGTATTATTATTATTATTATTATTATTATTTACATTGCTCCTAATTGTGGAAATTTTTGCCTGCTCCAAATAGGAATACTTGATTTATTGACTCCTAAAGAAAGCTCCTAACTTATTTTTTTTTAAATCTTGTTTTTTTTTTTAGGTATTGATCTTATTATGATGTCATGTGTTGTAAATGTATTATTATTTAGTCATTTATTCCTTCTTGCTTCATTGTTTCAAATGTTTTGAGTCTGAGAAACGGACAAGTTAAATAAAATGTATCAATATTATTATTGCTTAGTTAACCTAATTAAACCAGTGGTTCTCAAACTGTGGTACGAGTACCACTAGTGGTACTCAGAGGAATCAAATATGTCATATGTTCATGCTATATATTTAGAAATGTATCAAAATGATTTGTATATGAATATGATGACATATAGCCTATATTTTTGAGGTTCAGGCAACATTTCCAGGTGTTAATGAATGGCTATATGTTAATACTTTACATTTAAGTACAGCAGTTTTTTTTTACTTTTAAAAACGGTAACCTACCATTTTTAACTTTAAAAGCACATTTTAATTTTAATGTTTCATGAAAATTTTAATGTTTAATGTTGATGTTTTTTTTTGTTTGTTTTTTTTACATATAAGCACAGTACAGTGTTAATGTTCAAACTATTTATCATGTTTAAAGTGGCTGACATTAATAAATATTGGTAATAATAGGAATTAATCTGCCTGGTTTTTGAACTGTACAGAGCTGTTGCTGCTTTACTGGACTTACTGCGCTACTGTATTTCAATACTGCTCATCATGGGGCTACTTGGAGAGACAATTTTTTTTTTCTCGGTACTTGATGAAAAAAGTTTGAGAACCACTGAGTTAAACCATTTAAATGTCATTTTAAGCTGAATACTGTCGTCACGGCAGAGGCAAAATAAATCAGTTATAATTAATAACTATTATATTTTAAATCATGTTGGAAAAAAATAACTTGAGAAATATTTGATAAAGAATAAAAATTTCACAGGACTGTGTTTAAGTGTAGTTTTGGGTTTGCATTGTATTAATCATCTTTTATTATGTCTAGGCTGATGAAGCTGCCGTACACGAACAACATGATGTTTGTGGATGAAATAAACTCCGTTCAAAAGTCTTGGACAGCAACGGTGTACAGTTTTCATGAGACTCTGTCCATACATGAGATGCTGAGAAGATCAGGAGGACCTGCCTCCAGAATTCCACGGTACTCTTAAGATTTTTATTGATGCTATTATAGTAGTATTATTATTTATTTATTTATTGCATGTTTTGCTGTCCTGTTTTATGATGTATATGTCAGGGGATTTGTGTCTTTGGCCCATAACTTTAAAGAGCTGGTCATATGGTATTTTGTAAAGTGTTCTAATATCATGTTTGAGTCACCTACGATAGCTTTAAGTGCATCTAAGGTCAGAAAACATTTGTAATTTTCTCTGAATATGCATTTAGTATTAATCATTTGCAATGAATTTAATATGATTCATATGAAGCAATTTAAGGTCTGTAAGCCCCTCCCCTTCTAAAAGCCAACTCGTCCAGCTGACCAATCAGAGCAAAGTCTGGCCAAGTCATGTCTGAAATTAAATACTGGTATCTCATGGGTGGGCGGGGATTATGCAAATGTGTTATTTGATCATGTTGAAGGTAGCAGGCTAATGATTTGAAAATCTAAGACTCATTAACGTGATTCAGAGTTTCTTTTGAGAGACAATATCATTATTTATGTGTTTTTTGCAGACGTTGCATTACGAACCACAAATAAGATTTTTTAAATCAAAATGACCTGCTGCTCGTAGTTTTTTATTCTTTTATATGGGCTGACACTATGGCTGGTTTAGTCCTTTCATGAATATTTCATGAATAAATCTCTGACTCTCAAACCAATCAATGATACAAACATCAGAAAGTCCCAGTCTATAATGTATGATTTATTAAACGGGGCTGGACAGCAAAGATCACCTGATGATCAGAGTGAGTGTGAAAAACACCCAATGTCTGGACATTTTAAGGAAATTACCTTGTTTTCTGCAGTCATAATGAAAGCTGCTTATTTTAATTATGTCTTTGCTTAATTACTTTTTGTTTTTTACCCGTTTAATATTTTTTTTTATTCGTTTAGTTATTTGCTTGCTTGCTTTTTATTTACTTATTTTTCTTGCATATTAGTTTGCCTAATTACAAAAAAAAGTGTATGTGTATGTATGTATGTGTGTGTGTGTGTGTGTATATATATATATATATATATATATATATATATATATATATATATATGTGTGTGTGTGTGTGTGTGTGTGTGTGTGTATATATATATATATATATATATATATATATATATATATATATATATATATATATATATATATTGATACACTCACACGCGCGCACACACACACTCTTTTTTTTTTTTTTTTGTTTGCTCGTTTTTTTGCGACTTTATTTATTTATTAGCTTGCTTAGTTACATATTTGAATACTGGTTTAACTACGAGTTTTTACTTGTTTGCGTATTTCTGACATTTAGAAATGAGTTGTGAATTTTTTACTTATTTACCCGTTTTTCTTATTTTTTTTTTTTTTTTTTACGAGGCCATAAAAACTTTGCTTATTTTCTTGGGGCTAGTTTTTTACTTATGAGCTTACGTAATTATTAAAGAGAAAATATTTGATTACTTGTTACTTATTTGAGTTTTTTAGCTTGTGTGCGTGCTTATTTTTTACTTATTTACTTTCAAACATAAATCTGAACATCCCATTAAATCATTAAACTATTCAATAACTCCATCCTGTTTTGTGCGCAAGCAGTGTGTCTTGACCAGCTTACAAACTCCATATTGCCGCCAACTTATCCAGTATATGTTTTATGTAGCGGATGACCTTCCAGCCGCAACCCATCTCTGGGAAACATCCATCCATACACACTCTCAAGCACATTCACTATGGACAATTTAGCATACCCAATTCACCTGCACCGCATGTGTTTGGACTGTGGTGGAAATCGGACCACCTGGAGGAAACCCATGCGAACGCAGGGAGAACATGCAAACTCCACACAGAAACACTAACTGACCCAGCTGGGGCTCGAACCAGCAACCTTCTTGCTGTGAGGCGATAGCACTACCTACTGCGCCACCACGTCGCCCTGTTTGTCAAACTGTTGTATAAAATCAATATCACACATCTCGCATACTGAAATGCTATTGTGTGTGAAGGATAGTACTGATCTATATCATTTCGTATTAGTAATGCACAGATTTTTTTGACTTAGTATTTTTGGTTTTGCCCCTGAATTTCTTTCGATGTCGACTTATTTTATTTTTAATAAATATAGCAAACAAAAAACAACCAGGCATGGTTAATTATCACATTAATAACTTGAATTATGGGCTCATTACTGTCTTCAAACACACATGCTTTGTTTGCTTAGTTTAGTTTTCCTGCAAAGTGTGTAACCTACACCAATGTCAGCTTGCACATCGTTAAAACAACATTTACGATAACATCGCACACCATAAATATCACACAGCCCTCGTGTAGACCGATTTGACAAATAGCTTGTCAGTGTAGTCGTATCACAACAACGCGACGTAAAACCGAGCTTGTGCTCATAAATGTCTGCTGTAATTTATTTAGGAGCATCTTGTGCTAAAATGAAAACATGCGAGCAAATCTGTGTGTTGTGTGCTGATTTAATAAGAGCAGCAGCGTTTATAAAGCAGATAAATGTTGGGTTTTGATGTTATGTTGTGTTTTTTTTCTCTCTATCAGACGTGTCAGGCCTGTAACTGTTGCTGCGGACAGTAAAGCAGCCGCTGGTCTTCCTCAACACTGGGATTGGAGAAACGTTAATGGAGTCAACTTTGTCAGTCCAGTTCGCAACCAAGGTACGACATTAAAGTGGATCTATTATGCCCCTTTTTACAAGATGTAAAATATGATTAGTGTGTGTGAAGTTTCAGCTCAAAACATCACACAGATAATGTTTGATAACTCTTTAAAAACTGACCCATTTAGGCTTTGATCCTAACTGTGGCGTTTTGCTGAGTCGCTTTAAATTCAAATGGGATTGTGCTCTTTTCAAAAGAGGGCGGAGCTACAGATGCCTATATGTCCGCAGATAGTGGTAGATTCAATAACAAGACTAATGTCCTATGCCAGAAGTTCTCAAACTTTTTTCACCAAGTACCACCTTAATAAAAATCGTCTCTTCAAGGACCACAAAAATGACCAGTATTTAAAGGGCCATGAAACCCCCTCGTTTCAGCAGTGTGTTTTCACACCTCTACTTTGGAAAAAGTCAGAAAAGTGGGCGTGTCCAGCTCTGTTTAGGGGGGAGTGTCGGAGGAACTAAAGTGGGAGGGTGTGGGAGTGTCTATTTGGGCACGCACGAGTTTTGGGGTCAAAATACACACACATGAGAAAGTGATGGTGTTTAACCTACATGGACATCTGTAGTCGAATTATTTGCCAAATTATTAAATTTTGGACTTTAATTGCAGTTTGGCTCTTTCATTCAGGGAATTCATTCATGCCCCTCGCGACAAACGAGATATTTGATTCGAGGATCTGCTCTAAGCGTGTATTTTTCATGCAATGTTTGATACCGCACGGCGAATAAGTGAAAAAAACTCTGCATTTCCAGGAAACTTAGATGCACACGGCAGGTAGCGTCAGAAAGCCGTGTGTGTTATTCCGGTCACAAAATGCGGTGCTATGTTTGCACTCTGTGCAATAGTTAACTTAATTCGATACGAACAAACTGAATAAACAAAGAGCACTGGTCGCTCACTTACCAAATCTGTAGAGACAGCACAATCACCAGCAACTAGAGCCGCATCTTTATGAAGAGGAGACTAACGTTACAAGCGAATCCGGATCTCAGCGTTTGCAGATGAGAACAGCTCTCAGGTAAACAATAATCCTCCTTAGACACGTAAGTTATTGTTGTCGAGCGTCGCGTACACTGTTAATCCACACGTGATCCAGCTGAGCTCTTACAGAGAGAAAATGAAAACGAAACTTAACGGCAGCAAACTATAAAAGCAACACTTCACGCTTGTTTTGCCAACACAACGTGGCGTCTCTGTGGCGTAAACACGGTGACACTAATGAATATTAATGAAGTTGCACAATTGAGCGCACTGATTGGTTTGAACCAAGCCTTACTCATGCATTAATGCATCACACTGTAAGACGTAATAAGACACACTCTGGCACAGATGTCCAGTCTGCACGCTGGAATACACGCTATTATGTCATGAACGTGACGCAACTTCAAAAATTCGTTTCAAACAGGAAGTACGAATTTGCTTGAAATAACGTAAAAACAACCAATTTACACTTTTTAGTGAAATATATGTGTCCTAATAGTGTTTTTAGCAGTGTGGGACACGTATACGACTGTCAACGGCTCAAAAAATGTGTTTTGGTGTTTCGTGACCCTTTAAATAAAGTAGCGTAGTTGGCCAATAACTGCACAGTTCGAGGCAGAATCATGTTCATATTTATGAAATTTTTGATAAATTTTGAAATGTATATTGCGTGTACATCTGACAATTGTAAAACTTTTTGAAATCGAAACCTTAACTTGTATGTAGATTGTTAGGGAATTCGTTTTTCTCAGAGGATGTCAAGCTGACAAAACATTTCTGCACTCTGATACAAGTTTTGTTTATAGAGAATTTAAAAGCACTGCAGTGTTTGGGTGATCTGTGTTTGTCTGAGATAATTAGTCCAACAAAATTAAACTACATACAAATTATGAAGCTGATCAGTCAGTTCTTGTCACGTGAATTGCGGTGCAGCATTCTGAAAAAATGATGTTTTCAACCTGGAACGCCTGGAAAACGCAAGCGCGTCTCGCTGCAGTTCTTACTCATTTTACTAGCCTGTGGGTTAAATTTTGATGCTCAAATGGCAAAGATGTAGCAAGAGAATACGTCTATTTTTCAAAATAAAAGACTTTTCAAAATAAAAGATCGTTCAGACTCTGATTATAAATAAAACGGAAATAATTAATAATTTTTTGTGCGGCCCGGTACCAATTTATCTATAGAATGGTGCCGGTCTGTGGTCCGAGGGTCGGGGACCACTGCTTTAGTGCGTATCTGCTCTGCAAGCACCACGCACCTCTTTCTCTAGTTCTGCGTCATTAAGTAAACGTTCTAAGAACATCGCTTTGATCGTAGGCTTTAGAGAACAGCCAAAGCAGATCACATCAGTGTTATCGTACGCATCAAATGATTAAAACTGTATTCATTTTTTCTTTCATTCCTCCGCATACCACTAGAACTAACCCCGCACACCACTAGTGTTACATGTACCACAGTTTGAGAACCACTGCCTTATGCTAATGAGGGAGAGATGGTCACTAGTGGGTGGGGCTTTCCCCCTGATGACACGTACGAAGGGAGAATGTCAATCAAAGTGCTTCTGCAAACGGTTTTTATCAACTGTGATTATATAAATTAATACATTTTTATCATTAGATGCTGGTTATATTTAAACACTGCTGCCACACAACTGTATTTAAACCCCTTCTGAAAGTGATTTGTGCATAGTAGGTCCCCTTTTTAAGATTTGAACAGTACAGATTCAGATTTAATGAATAAAATGCCTACAAAATGCATTGTTTATAATGAACCAGCTTAATATAGCCATCTTCATTTATCAAGCTGATGTAGTTTTTCCACAGATGGAATATAGATAATTCTACAGTGCTGAAGATGTTACTGAAGTTCATTACACTGCTGTCAGGTTTAAAGCGAATGCACGTATAATCATAATGCTATTTGGATGACTAAATGCTGAAGTAGTTTAAGGGGGTTAAATGTCAGTATTGTTGTCGTAGTTTTTGTGATTTTTTTTTTAAAAATTCTTTTTTTTATTTTTTTTTTATTTATTTATTTATTTATTTTTTACTACTTTTTTATTTAGTTTTCATCTAGTTTGTGTGAAAAAAAAAATTATAATAAAAATAATAAATAAGGGCTTGGTGGAGCTAATGCCCCAGGGCCTACGAGAGGTTGGGTTCTTGATTGGCTGAAAAATTAATTTACATCATGACGCAGGAAATGCCTCTTTGCGTTATTCTATCGCATGTTAATAATGTGAAGTATTGCTTTCAGTACGCTGCTGTTCAAAAACGGCGACGCTACTAAACTATGGCTCAGAGTGGCTGTAGCCCAATCAAAGATTTGAATAATCATAGTAAGGGTGAACAGATGTCGTTTTTTTATTTATTTATTTATTTATTTATTTATTTATTTATTTTTTAACAGCAAAGTCCCTTATTTCCCAGCACAGTTATTTATTTCTACTCTATTGACCTTATTTTGAAATGCGGAAGTGCGCCTGTTTTCGCGATTGTCTTAGAACTTCCGATTCAGTTGCCTATGGGAGAAATGACTAGGAATAATAAACGGCAGAAAATGGTCAAACTACTTGCTCAACAAACAAATGTTTGCATGACTATACAGACCAAGAAGCATAATATAATAAGAAAATATTAAATTGCAACATCAAGCAGCGTAACGAGCAGTTGTTAACGTCAAAAAATGAATGGAAGTGAATGTGACCGGAAGTCGCGAGACAAAAAGATTCAAATGGCAGCGCCCACTTGCCAGCTGAGAATAAGGTGAATACTCTACCGTGAAAAACGGCCCAGTCAAAGGCAGGCTGAAGGCCGTGCACACTGGGATGGTTTTTGCTCACGTTTTCCATCGACGTTTAATGCCTCGTGACTAAATAAAAGGCGCCAATGTGATCATGCACACCAACGCAAAAAACGGCAGGCGTAAAAACGTCATTTTTAAATGCCTCATGCTCGTTTTTTTTTTTTTTTTTTGATGTGCCGTGTTAAAACCTTCTCCACCAATCAGATTGACACTTGTTCATGTGCACGGAGCTGCTGAAGTTACAGTAAACAGCACTTGGAGGCACATTGAAGAAGATGCCCAGAGGCGATATGAACGTGGAGCTGCATATTGCTCTGGTGAACAATAATCATTTCTTCATCGCTAGAGCTGGAGCTGCTACTTGAACCATAGATCCCTGTTCAAATTGTCAGTAACTTTAACAACAAACATGTTAACTTCTCTCTTCTTCTTCTTCTGTGTTACAAGCGGGTGTCAGAACCTTAAAGTTGTGTAGTGCCATCTAACATCAAACCGGAAAAACATCTCAAAACGCTGACGATAAACGCAAACGAAAAGCATCCTGTGTGTACGAGCCCTAACTGGTAGGCCACAGCCATGTCATCCTGCAGCCCAAGACCAGTTACTCACTGAAGCTAAGCAGGGCTGAGCCTGGTCAGTACCTGAATAGGAGACCACATGGGAAAACTAGGTTGCTGTTGGAAATGGTGTTGGAAGGGTCTCGAGTCTTTGTAGTCCCATGGCACTTCATGTAAAGTGTATGGGTGTAACCCTGGTGTCCTGGCTAAATTCCCTCTTGGCTCTAAACCATCATGGCCTCCCAATCATCCCTTTTCCATCCACCAAATTGGCGGTATCACTGTCTTTTCACTCCCCCTATAGCTGATGTGTGTGGTGAGCTCAATGATGCCGTCGCAACATCCGAGCCTACTTTAGTAAAATAGAAAACATGTTGAAATAATTAAATATAAATCAAGTGGAATATCATATAATATATTGATATAAATTAGCAAATAAATAATAATAACAGCAAATAAATAATAATAATAATAATAATAATAATAATAATAATAATAGCAAAAAAAAATCTACTTTTGTGAGGCAATTAAAATAAACAGTAAAGCCCCAGAACCTAGTATGTTGTTAATCTGGCCCTGCCTGTGCGTAAAAATAATTTTTGTGAATTTATTTAATTGTTATTTTTTTTATACCACTTTTAGTATTCGTTTAGTTTCCATGAGTGAAAAATGTTGATTTAATATAAATTGTCAACAAAATTAATGCATGTGTCTGTGAGAAATTCAAAAAGAAATGCTGCAAATGTGTTCACGTGCAGTGTGTAATTTATATCAAAACCTCTTGAATTCAGTCTGCGACCTCCCACAGTTCAGTCAGTCCTGGGAATAACATCAATATACTGCTATTGATTGTGTTCAATCTGCAGTCCTGTGCGTGCTGACACTGATAAAGCTAGTCTTACTGGAAGAGGTTGGCAAAATAATGCATGTGACACTAGAAACCCAGTTTGAAAATGAACTTTTTCATTAAGAGGTGATATTTCCCCTGGAATTGATTTTTCTTTATTACCTTCATTGTCTACATTTTATAATTGGCTAAATTAATTGTATCCATGTTGTCTTGCATCAAGTACCTAAATTTAACAACCTGCTTGATTTGAATAAGTGCGTTTGGGGAAAGTGGCACGCTCTTATCTAGAATTAGATTGGTTTGATGGTATTTCTCAAGCCCCTGTTAATGGATAATCCCCTGGTAATGTTAATCGGATGATGATGAAATGGCAGGAAATTAACTTTTTTTAATGATCTTGTGTTTTTTTTTTTTTTCTAAACTGTATTTTTCACAGGCAACAAATCTTCCTTTTAATTTAGTATTAATTTATTTAAGCTTAATTTTATTTACCTTATTTTTTTTGTTTTACTTAAATTTTACTTTTTTTATTCAATTTTTATATCAAATTTATATGCATTTTATTTTTATTCATTCATTCATTCATTCATTTTTCTTTAGCTTAGTTCCATTTATTCATCAGGGGTTGCCACAGTGGAATGAACCGCCAACTTATCCAGTATATGTTTTGCATGGACACTTCACACAGAAATTGCAGCTGACCCACCCGAGACTCGACCCAGCAACCAGTGCTAATCTCTGAGCCACCTTTAATTGGCTAAATAAAATAAACTGTTCTTATTCTTCTTATTATTTCTTATTATTATTTATTAGTCTCCTTGCGCTCGTACCAGCTCAATCTGCTCTCTGCCTTCTTTTCTTTGGGTTTTTTCTCATTTACAGTCGAAGAGACCAAAATAAAAGTCTTCTGATATAAGTGTGAGGAGATGATCGGCTCTTCAGGCGAGTCTAGAGTGTCTCTTTTTTTTTTCTAGTACAGTCAGATAGTGTCTGACTTTTGTCGAGAGCTGCTTCAGATACTCTGGATACATCAGAGCAGGATTAATGATGCTTCTGTAGGATGAGGACATATGTTTTTTTTTCCCTCTCTGAATGATTTCTGCTCTTATGTCTTCAGCTCAGTGCGGCAGCTGCTACTCTTTCGCCACTATGGGAATGCTGGAGGCACGAGTGCGGATCCAGACCAACAACACTCAGCAGCCGGTGTTCAGTCCGCAGCAGGTGGTGTCCTGCTCGCAGTATTCACAAGGTAAAAACATTTATTACACCTGATTTGCTATCCTAACATGAAGTGAATCTCTTCAGAAGTTTGTGTAAAAATAAACCAATCCCAAATTTGACTGGAGCCTTTACACATTTCCAAGTTTCTCAGCAGCAGAAGTCGTCATAGTTGGATAAACTTAGAGTGCAGTGAGTTGGAGAGGACAACAGATATTTTTTTTATAATCCTATTTGCAGAAATAAGTAAAAAAATTAATGGATTATGGTGTTATTAAGGCTTTCAGAAAAAGAAAAAAAAGTGTAAGACTGATAACGGCAACCAGACGAGAGAATAATGTCAAATTTACTGTCCTGCCCCAATGACACTGATTACAAACACCTCACATAAGCGGTAATTAGTTTTTTTGTTATTTGATGCAAAGATGATGTAATGCATACTGTATAAAGGTACAGTATATATGTGTGTTTTTTAGGGCTGTTTAATTTTTTTTATTTTTTCTAATTAATTACTTTATTTACTTTGCTGTTATTTTTAATGTTGTGATGATACTATGTTGAGGAATTTACAGGTTGTGATCTGTTGTTCTATTGTTTTGTTAGAATAAAGGTTAAAAGCACATGTTTTACTGGGATAATGTCAGATTTAAATAAATTTTAAAAAGTGATCCATGATTTTGTCAACTTGCACACGTTAATCAACAATATTTGATCCCAAACATCTGATTTGATTGGCAAAGATTAAATATATTTGACAAGTTTTTATTTTAAGAGGTTTTTTTTTTTTCAATAAAGGAGTGTCATTAAAAATGTACAAATATAAAAATGTTTACATTTTTAAATATTAATGTATTCATATAAACATTTTTTATTTTAGTTTTTTTAAATATATTTTTACTTTTATGGCACACTTTTATTGAAAACCTTTGGTCTTTAATATTTGCCCAAAATACATAAAGATGTTGACATGAACCACTGATTACTTTTTCTAGTAAGTCTGACAATATGCCAGTATGTACAGTTGAAGTCAAAAGTATTCACCCTCCTGTGGTATTTTTATTTTTTTTATATTTCCCAAATGATGTTAACAGAGCCAGAATTTTTCACAGTATTTCCTATAATATTTTTTCTTCTGGAGTAAAATCTTATTTGTTTTATTTAAGCTGGAATAAAAGCAGCTTTAAATTTTTATTTTATTTTATTATTTTTTTTTTACCATTTAAAATCAATATTATTAGCCCCAAAGGACTTGCCTATTTACTCTAACCCGCCTAATTAACATATTTAAGCCTTTAAATGTCACTTAGCTGAATACTAGTATCCTGAAAAATATCTAGTCAGATATTATTTACTGTCATCATGGCAAAGATAAAAGAATCAGCTATAAGAAATGTTATTAAAACTATTATGTTTAGAAATGTGTCCAAAAATCTGAAATTAAGGAAAAAATATACAGAGGGGCTAATAATTTTAGAGGGCTAATAATTCAGACTTCAACTGTACCTGCCAACATGTTATTTTGCGTTTATTCAAACAAAACGATAACCTAATAACCAAAAACTATCAAACCTACTGACTTAAATTTCCTCTCTTCCACAGGTTGTGATGGAGGCTTTCCCTACCTGATTGGAAAATACATCCAGGATTTCGGCATCGTGGAGGAGGACTGTTTCCCGTACACCGGGTCTGATTCTCCCTGCAACCTGCCTGCAAAGTGCACAAAGTACTACGCCTCAGATTACCACTACGTCGGCGGGTTTTACGGCGGATGCAGCGAGTCTGCCATGATGCTGGAGCTGGTGAAGAACGGCCCCATGGGAGTCGCTCTGGAGGTCTATCCCGATTTCATGAACTATAAAGAGGGAATCTACCATCACACCGGCCTGCGGGACGCCAACAACCCATTCGAGCTGACCAATCACGCTGTGCTGCTGGTGGGTTACGGCCAGTGCCACAAAACTGGAGAGAAGTACTGGATCGTGAAGAACAGCTGGGGAAGCGGATGGGGAGAAAACGGCTTTTTCAGGATCCGTCGTGGAACGGATGAGTGCGCCATCGAGAGCATCGCCGTCGCTGCTACGCCAATCCCCAAACTGTAGAGAGAGAGGGCGTTCAGATGTGATTTTTATACCCATTCTGCTTTTATTTCTGAATGTTTTTATAATGCCACCTCTAGATTGAAGGGATAGTTCAACCAAAAATGGAAATTTGCTTACTATTTACTTGCCCTCAAGTGGTTCCAAACCCATTTGAGATTCTTTCTTCTGACATTTCGTCATCGAGAGCATCGCCGTCGCTGCTACACCAATCGCCAAACTGTAGAAAGAGCGTTCAGATGTGATTTTAACCCATTCTGCTTTTATTTCTGAATGTTTTATTATGCCACTTGTGCAGCTTAAATGGATAGTTCAGCCCTAAACGAAAATCTACTTAATATTTATTTGCTCTCAAGTGGTTTTAACCCTATTTGAGTTTCTTTCCTCCATCTTTTTCAGAATAAAACCTATTGACATTTTTACACTAAGCTACAAAACTCAATACAGTCTTTGATTTCTCAAATGGCCTCTAAATGTCTTTCTGTAGCCATACAATGAGCCACTTTTGGCTTCTTTTTCCAAGCAGAATGTGTGAACTGAAAATCAATAGCCTCGATTTGATCCATTTTCCCAATTTCTCAGACCTTACACTGCTTTATCTTCAGCCTCCGAGGGCTTTTGCCTTCACGCTGGTCTGGTTTTTCGTGAGTCTGGTGTCGTTTCTCTGTTTCTCCAGAGCTTTTGACTCTCCTCTTGTTGGCCTGGAGGGGGTTTATTCATTTTCTGTGCCTTTACTGTCAGCAACGGTGGGGTCTCTTCATTTCTGCCCCTTCAACCTCTAACCGAGTTGAGCTTGTTCTTTAAGATCCGTCAGAGAGTCAGTCTGAAAAATGAATCCAAGAGAAATTCTCTGAGAAATGTCATGTTTCTGTCTTCAGCCTCTGATTGTTGCTGTCAGCCAAAATCAACCAGTCTAGAGTCTAGTTTGAGTTTTAAAATGATGCAAGCATACTGAATACTGTAGGGTTTGTAATCTAGTGTTTGCTGTTTGTTGAAAAGAGGCATTTTAATTTGTTCTTGCACTAAAGAAAGTTGCTTGAAGTGATAGTTCACCCAAAATTATAGTTCATTCATTTTTTTATGCATGTTTGAAACCAGTTTTAGTTTTATTTTCTGTTGAACACAAAGGAAAATGTATTGAAGAATGGAAAAAAACAGCCATTGACTTGAGTAGTATTACTTTGTTCCTACTTTGGATGTCAAATATCTGCTTTTTCATTATTTTTCAGGATATCATGTTTTGTGTTCTACACAAGAAAGAAATACATTAATGTTTACAACTAATTGAGCATGAAATAATACATTTTAAATTTTTTTTGAGTGAACTATCCCTTTAAAATGTTTTTAGAAATAAGGGATCTCTTTTTAGATTTGTATTGATCCATGTGTGGCGTTAATGTCACATTTTAACTCGATGCCACATCAATTTTGCACTGTGTTAATAGACATTTTGTATTCAGAGAATACCAAGTTGTTCTCAGGAAAATCAATACTTGTGGTTTAATCGGCAATCACTTTATCAATAGCGATAGACTAAAGGGACGAATGTGTGTATTTTTGAGTCCTCTCTGGCTGTTTGCCAACAGATTAGCTGCTCGAGACTGTTTGAAGTTGATGGTTTATCAATTTTTGCCTTTTTGTGCTACTGTATCAGTCATGATTTTAAATAAAATGCTTTTTAAGGTACTTTTGGCTTGATGTGTGTTTTTATTTTATAGCATTAAGTGCAAAAGATTAAGAATCTGAATAAATCTAATCTTTTCTATAAATGTTACATTTGTAGTGATCACTTTTGTCCTCAACATGTTTTGTTTTACTTAGATTTGATTTTATGAGTGAATTTGACCAGCTGTAAAGAAAGTGGTTTTTTTCTGTTTTAGTTTGTCCATATTTGTTATAATAAATCATTTTATAGGTGAAATATTTGATAAATTTTTATATAAAATACTGTAACGTTATTTATTTTTTTCTCATTTCAGTGTCACATTCAAACTATGTAAAAACAGGCAAAGCTCACGTTACAATACATAAAATATATAAACGATTAAACACTTGTTAAATATAGTTATTAAGTACAGATGTGCGTAAGAATAATAGTTTCGGTTTAAATCAATACCTCTGCCTATTGTTCAAATATTATAATTTGTTAATAAGATTATTAAGATTTAAAGACAAATAAAAGACCTATTCATCGTAGCCCATAGATATAATACCTAATATCTATGGTCATTCCCGCTAAAATGTGTTGGTTTGAACTACCAACGTTAAGTTACACAGGGGAGAAATGCGAATTGAAACTTTGTGCAAACAAATTATTTACAACTAAACTTCAAATAAACATCATACCGAGTTCATTACATTATATTATCAGCATTGAATGTGCTTATAAATTAAGGTAATCAAACAAAAATCCAAAAGCGGTTTTGCTCAAAAAGTCCTCCCCTGTGACGTTGTATTGAGTTGGTATCGGCCGAGTGGCTTAAACAGCCACCGCGCGCAATGAGTGAGCTTTTGCCCGTTGTCAACGCGACTGACTTAACTTACTCGCCGCTCGTCAACCAAACGAATCAAACAACAAACATAGTAAGTTTGCACTCCAAACGACTCAACTATGTACAAATAAGGATAATAAAGCTTTTAAATTATCGAACAGAAGTTGTGTGGTATTTCATTATCGACGACATCAACGTTAAATACGATAAAGTAATGATAAAGTGACAATAATGTCTGAACAAAATTCGTTATTCAGAAGGCCTAGATTTATTTATTAATCGGATGTGTGTTGGAAAATCAGCAACTTCAATGTATTAAGATCACACTAAAATGGAGGAATAACATCGTGTGAATTAGGCAAGTTAAACAAATGTTTTAAATGTTTTTTAGACTGCCATCTGTGAGGTGTGCAATGCATTGTTTTAGTATTTCAAATGGTTTTACTTGTTACATTTTAGTTTTTTCTGATGTCTTTTAAGTGTGAAGTGCTTTTGGGAATTACGTTTCAAAGGCTTTAATGTTATGTAAAAAAACTAATTTATTATTAAAGCTTAAAGCAGACTTGGGGAAATCTGGTTCATATCAGCACTGTTTAACTTATATAAAACAACATTAATATTAATCCAACTAAAATACAACAATAGAAAAACAACACAACCAAATGTACAATAATCAGATATAAGAACAATAAATTGAGGTACAGTTGGTTTTATATTCACAGTCGTTCAGTGTTAACTTGTGTCCCTATGTTGTTTACCACTGCCTTGAATATTCCGTATGAAATCGCATGCAACGTAAGAATAACTTAAAAACAACATTTAGCACTATTTAATTGACTGTGAACGATGTACTTTGGTAGTCATTGGCTGATAATATGATTTCACTATTCAGAATTCAGAAACAATACTTTAACCAAATTATGTTATTAAGAATAACGTCAGAATGTGTGAATATAAAACCAACTTTAACACAATGAACAATAACTAGTTAGTGTATGCGCCATTCAGTTATTTTTGTTTCTCTTTAATAAAGAATTAATAAACTATTGCCAATCATATCAGTGCTATATCTAGGTTTTGTTGCAAGTTTTGTAGCTTCATAATACGTGGGATAAAGTACATCCAGGCGGTTGTTTTCACCGAATAAAGCCCTTCATGCTTGTACAGCAGTGCTCTGATTTGCGTCTGGCTTCATTTTGCGATAACAACTGCCTGAAATGTATTTCATCCCTAACATATAGCATACCTTGAACTGTTGTGATCGACCAATCAGAATCAAGAATTCCAGAGAGCTGTGTAATACAAAAAATCAGCAAAAATCAAATCAAAGTTGCCTATGTGTGCCTTTGTGGTAATTTGACATATTTAAAATTGATGATTTATAAATGTATTCAAGATATGGGTCACCCAGGACCACAAAAGCAGTCACAGGGGTAAATATTTTGTTAAATTGAGAGTTATGCATAATCTACTCTCTGAGGAGAATAAATAAACATTCTATTGATGTGTGGTTTGTAAAAATTGACAATGTTTGTCTGAGGTACTACTATTTAGACATCTACAATTTGATGGTTAAAAGAAAAAAAAAGGCTAAATATGAAAATTTATTGTTACATGTAAATAAATTCATTCCTAATCACAAATAAAAAAAACGTTTGGCTATATTAGCAGTAAATTTGTGACCAAAAATCAGTTTGTGTACACTGTAAAAAAAAAAATGTAATGCAATCTCCCAACACAAATCTATTAAGTTAACGTAACTAATTAAAAAAAAGTATATTGAACATAAAACAATTAAGTTTCCTCTAAAAATCTTCAGAATTGAGCTGTTTCAGCTCATTTTAATTAAGTAGTTTAAACAAGTAGCACAAAATATGTTTTTGAGTGTAGATTTTAAGACTAGATCTTCTATTAAATAGCTTGTAGTCATAATAAAAATTAAAATGACCCATAATAGGTACTCAGTGATCATCATCTTGTGTGTTTCTGTCTGGATGGTGGTGAAGGTTGTTTCCCCACACCATATCTATGGGAATGACCCGTGGCGTCAGGTGGGGCGACGCTTTCCCTCGCCCTCGCTCAGCTCAGTCACTCTGACCATGGCGAATCCCTGCCCGAGGTTCTCTCACTCTTTAGTGAAGTTCAGTGGTGATGCTTCAATTGGTGGGTGATTGTAGGCTGGGGTCCAGATCAGCAGCTCATGGGTGGTGTGCTGAGAGCCAGTTTACCTCACTTACTGTGGTACATAACTACATCCAAAGGTAATAATGTAGCCTATTTGCTTCCTAAGCTGAAGCCTAACCTAAAATGAGGAACTGGCACCTAAGATGATTAACAATAGGAAGGCAGGGAAATATAACTTTTAAGTTTGTTACTTTTTATCCTGTGGTATTGCTAAAATTGATGTTTTGAAACTGTACACAAGATTAGGAATATAAAAGAAGTAAAATAAGGTATAGATGTTTTGCATTTGTGTTGTCATTCTTAAAATGAATGTGTTAAAAATGTCAACAAGTAATATATAGTATAGGAACATTTTTGTGTTGCTACCATTATTTGGCTCTCTGGAATACTTGATTCTGATTGGTCAGTAAAGACATTCCAAGGTATTAAAATTGATGTGTCGATGTGTATATATAATATAGTAACATTTAGCAATGTCAAATATTTCCAATATTGTGCAGCCCTACTGAAATGTAAAAATGTTCCGTACGTTAAGGGTACAGAAGTGAACCCTAAAGGTAATATCCAATTGAGGTAAAGTTGGTCTTATACACTGTTAAAATAGTTAGGTTAACTTAAAAATACCCCAACATATAACCCAACTATAGGTTATTATAGCACCTTTCCAAACTACGGGTTATTTTAACCCAATGCATTGGGTTATTTTGATTAAATAATTTTTTTTCCATTCTGCTATTACTATTGCTACTATTACTAGTACAACTATTAATTTTATTATTATTGCTGGGTAAATAAATAACATACAGTTTTCAAACATATTGAAAATGCTTTATTTCCATTTCATTTAGTTCCAGACACTTTTGTTAAAATAAATCAATTATCACAAACAATGAAGAAACAGAAGACAGTGCAGACAGTTATAAACTCTGCAAGCAGAGAATCCTGTGTTGATGGAGCACATATGGAGCTCTGTGTGCTATAAAGACCAGCAGCTGCAGCAGGCTCCACTTTGTCCACAGTGTCCACAGAGGTAATTTGATAAAACAACAACATTATTGCGTTATAGCTTAAATAAACTTTATATTGCAAAAACAACATTACGCAAACACATAATAATTCAGCTGTTCTGTGTCGGTTAAATCAGTTGACTGTTAAAATTAACATTTTTAACCCAACTGGTTGAGTTATTAAATAATTAACCAAATAAAGGTTAAAAATCACCCAACAAAGCACCAAACATTTAACTCAATATTGAATTTAAAATATTGCTGCTTACATATAAAGCTTTAAGTAATCTAGCTCCTGTTTATCTCACCAACCTTCTGTCTCGCTACAATCCAACTCGCTCTTTAAGATCTCAAAACTCAGGGCTTCTGGTAGTACCTGGTATAGCAAAGTCGAGTAAAGGAGGTCGAGCCTTCTCCTTTATGGCTCCTAAACTCTGGAATAGCCTTCCTGATACTGTCCGAGGCTCAGACACACTCTGTCAGTTCAAAACTAGATTAAAGACCTATCTGTTTAGTAAAGCATACACTCAATGCATCACTTAGTGGGTCTCCACACAAGTTTCTACATCTTGTTTATATACACTATGAACAGCAGCTACGCTAATTATTCTCTTTATTCTCCATTTCCACCTGGGGATACTCATCCCGAGGTCTTCAGACTATGCAGAGTCACTGATTTGATCCAAGACCAGCAACAAGATGATCCCAAGGTTTCCATATCCTGGACCAGGCCGTGTCCTGAGCAGCTGCTGTGGGGGTCATGGAGGAGTGGAGAGCATAAGACTGATTCCTGTGACGCCACAGGGACAGACGAGTCTTTGCTAAGGTCCAGCTTCCAGCCTCCGCCACTGAGACTGCAGCTCTGCACAAGATGTTTGGCCAGCGGAGAAATTAAAATGGTGGTGCCCAACTGAGTCTGGTTTCTCTCAAGGTTTTTTTCTTCTTCACTTTTGACAATTGGTGAAGTTTTTTTCCCCCCCTAGTTTGCATGGTTTGGGATCAGTAGATCTGTGCATCGATGGATTGCTCTCTAGTGTTTAGGAGCTCAGTAGTGATTATTGAAACCACACTGAGCTGAGCTGAACTGAACTTAAACACTAAAAAACTGAACTACACTGTTCCAATTTACTATGATCTTTTATGTGAAGCTATACTGTAATTGTATTGCTATACAAATAAAGTGAATTGAATTGAATAATAAATAACCTAATAAAGGTTAAAAATAACCCAAACAAGGCACCAAATATGTTTAACTCAACCAATGGGTTAAATAAATAACTCAATTATTTTCAGAGTGTATTTGCACATTCATTAAATTTTGAACTGTGACAATTTCTGAATAGTTATTTTAAATATCGGGTCTGAAATCACATGTAGGCCTAATGGGGTATATGCACATGAGCTTTTAAATTAAGTCAGCCTGCATCAGCACTTCCAATTATAAATTTGCCATGTTTAAGGTCTGATTTCTTAAAAAAAAATCTGTGATCTTCACTGCCTGATAGATATACAAACTGAAGTGGGTCTCAAATTGGACAAGAAGCACTGCTAATTTTTCCCTGCCATGTTTTTAAAATATGACGATTTATTTCACCCCAGTATTTTCAACAGAGTTTCTGCATTAGCCTGCTAATCCTGACGACACTAGCGTTACACTGTCTTTCATCTCATTTTATGCTTGAAGAATTGATTGAAAGCTTAAGTCTAATTAACTGAATGTATTTTATTAACATTACAACGTCGACGCTGTCAACAAAACCTTATAAAATTGAAAGTAAGTCAGAGCTGGCACTAGCTGTGCATATACCCCATTATTCCAAACAACATTAGCATTATTTAATTGGCTTTGAACAGTGTTGTACTTTGATAGTTATTGGCTGTTTTAATGATTTTACTACTTAGAATTTACAAAGAATATTTTTCTAAAATGATGCTAAGAAGGTTAAGGTCTGCATGTGTGAATATATAAACCAAATTTGCCTCAATAATGGCTACCTCTATATCTCTGAATTGTACCTTCTAAGATAACACACCAGTGGCAGATTTTGTATCTTTTATTTCTGAGGGTGAACACAGCAAATTAGCTATAACTTAATTTGGTGAAGAAATTTCTTCAGTTGTTGTAGGCACTATCAGCACCTTTCCTCACATCATGGAAACTTGTATATTTTAGTATTTTATTGAAGTGTTTATCTGCACTATCTTTTCTCTCTTACAATTTATGTTTGCACCTTGATTAAGGTTTTATACTCACACATTCAGACTTTCTCCATTAATATAATGTCAGAAAAGTATTTTTTGCAAAATGTAAATCGGGAAATCATATTAGCAGCCAAGAACTATCAAAGTACAACACTGTTCAGTCAATTAAATAGTGCTAATGTTGAGTTAAAGTCATTTACATGCGATTTCAGACCCAATATTTAAAGTAGCATATGTAAACAATATATAGACCTTGACACAAGTTTTCACTGTTCGAAATTGAGCGAATGTGTAAAAATAAAACTAACTTTACCTCCGTCAAATAATTTACATTTAATTTCTAAATCAAACAACCTAAAATTAAAGCCTCGATTAATTGAACATTTAAACTGGATGTTGATTACTGAGCGATTATTTTATTTTTTGCCCTCATATATTTCACTGATAAGTTTTGTACAGTAGATTTGCTCACATATTACAAGAGATTTTTGAATGAAGGGCACATTACTTGATTTTAAAATACTCGACTCCACATGCGGAAAGTTTACCTGAAAACATTTGATCGATTTTTGGTTCTGAATGTTGATTTTAATTACTTTTCGGTTAATTTGCCAGCCCTATTTTGGTATTTTTGAAGTGTTTTAACTGCAGTAAACTATCTTTTACCCACTTACAATTTATGTTTGCACCATGATTGAGGTAAAGTTGGTTTTATACTCACACATTCAGACTTTCTCCAATAATATAATGTCAGAAAAGTATTTTTTTGCAAATTGTAAATCGGGAAATCATATTAGCAGCCAATGACTATCAAAGTACAACACTGTTCAGTCAATTAAATCGTGCCAATGTTGAGTTAAAGTCATTTACATGCGATTTCAGACCCAATAATTAAAGTAGCACAGGTGAACAATATATAGAGACTCTAACACACGTTTTCACAGTTTGAAATTGAGTGAATGTGCGAATATAAAACCAACTTTACCTCCGTCAAACATTTCACCTTTTATTTCTGAGGGTGAACACTGGAAACTTGCCATAACTTAAATTGGTGGAGAAGTCTTGTCAGTAATTGAGGGTGTGGTTATCAGCACCTTACCTCACATCATGGAAACTTCACTGTTCTATATTTTGGTAGGGCTGGGCAATTTGGCCTAAAATTAAAGCCTCGATTAATTGAACATTTTAACTGGATGTTGATTACTGAGCGATTATTTTATTTATTGCCCTCATATATTTGACTGATAAGTTTTGTACAGTAGATTTGCTCACATATTACAAGTAAGAAATTTTTGAATTAAGGGTGCATTACCTGATTTTAAAATACTCTACTCCACATGCGGAAGGGAAAGGTCTTGAAAAATTTTGATTGATTATTGGTTCTGAATGTCGTTTTCGATTGATTTGCCAGCCCTATTTGGTGTTTTTGAAGTGTTTAAACTGCAGTAAACTATCTTTTACCCCCTTACAACTTATGTTTGCACCATGATTGAGGTAAAGTTGGTTTTATACTCACACATTCAGACTTTCTCCTTAATAATAATGTCAGAAAAGTATTCTTTGATAATTGTATATAGGGAAATCATATTATCAGGCAATAACTATCAAAGTACAGCACTGTTCAGTCAATTAAATAGTGCTAATGTTGAGTTAAAGTCATCTTTATATGCGATTTCAGACCCAATATTCAAAGTAGTGTAGGTAAATAATATATAGAGACTCTAACACACGTTTTCACAGTTTGAAATTGAGTGAATGTGCGAATATAAAACCAACTTTACCTCCGTCAAACATTTCACCTTTTATTTCTGAGGGTGAACACTGGAAACTTGCCATAACTTAAATTGGTGGAGAAGTCTTGTCAGTAATTGAGGGTGTGGTTATCAGCACCTTACCTCACATCATGGAAACTTCACTGTTCTATATTTTGGTAGGGCTGGGCAATTTGGCCTAAAATTAAAGCCTCGATTAATTGAACATTTTAACTGGATGTTGATTAATGAACGATTATTTTATTTTTTGCCCTCATATATTTGACTGATAAGTTTTGTACAGTAGATTTGCTCACATATTGCAAGAGATTTTTGAATTAAGGGTGCATTACCTGATTATAAAATACTCGACTCCACATGCGGAAGGGAAAGGTCTTGAAAAATTTTGATCGATTATTGGTTCTGAATGTCGTTTTCGATTGATTTGCCAGCCCTATTTTAGTGTTTTTGAAGTGTTTAAACTGCAGTAAACTATCTTTTACCCCCTTACAACTTATGTTTGCACCATGATTGAGGTAAAGTTGGTTTTATACTCACACATTCAGACTTTCTCCTTAATAATAATGTCAGAAAAGTATTCTTTGCTAATTGTATATAGGGAAATCATATTATCAGCCAATAACTATCAGAGTACAGCACTGTTCAGTCAATTAAATAGTGCTAATGTTGTTTTATAGTCATTTACATGTGATTTCAAACCCAATATTCAAAGTAGCGTATAGGTAAACAATATATATAGCATATGTCAGCATAATTGCATTACTTGATTTTAAAATACTTGACTCCAAATGCGGTAGGGAAAGTACTTGAAAAAATTGACCTGAAAACATTTGATTGATTATTGGTTCTGAATGTCGATTTCGATTAATTTTCGATTGATTTGCAGCCCTGATTTGGTAGTGTTTTAACTGCAGTAAACTATCTTTACCCCCTTACAACTTATGTTTGCACCATGATTGAGGTAAAGTTGGTTTTAGACTTTCTCCTTTCTCCAATTATATTATATGTACTTTTCGGTTAATTTGCCAGCCCTATCTTGGTATTTTTGAAGTGTTTTAACTGCAGTAAACTATCTTTTACCCACTTACAACTTGTGTTTGCCCCATGATTGAGGTAAAGTTGGTTTTATACTCACACATTCAGACTTTTTCCAATAATATAATGTCAGAAAAGTATTTTTTGCAAATTGTAAATCGGGAAATCATATTAGCAGCCAAGAACTATCAAAGTACAACACTGTTCAGTCAATTAAATAGTGCTAATGTTGAGTTAAAGTCATTTACATGCGATTTCAGAACCAATATTTAAAGTAGCACAGGTGAACAATATATAAAGACTTTGACACACGTTTTCACAGTTTGAAATTGAGCGAATGTGTGAAAATATTTTACATTTAATTTCTAAATTAAATAACCTAAAATTAAAGCCTCGATTAATTGAACGTTTTAACTGGATGTTGATTAATGAGCGATTATTTTATTTATTGCCCTCATATATTCTACTGATAAGTTTTGTACAGTACATTTGCTCACATATTACAAGAGATTTTTGAATGAAGGGTGCATTACCTGATTATAAAATACTCGACTCCACATGCGGTAAAGAAAGTACTTAAAAAAATTGTCGATTTCGATTACTTTTCGATTGATTTGCCAGCCCTGATTTGGTAGTGTTTAAACTGCAGTAAACTATCTTAACCCCCTTACAACTTATGTGTCCCCTATGATTGAGGTAAAGTTGGACTTTCTCCTTTCTCCAATTATATGTCAGAAATGTATTTTTTGCTAATTCAAAATATAGGGAAATCATATTATCAGCCAGTGACTATCAAAGTACAACACTGTTCAGTCAATTAAATAGTGCTAATGTTGTTTGTAATGTTCAAAAATGAATGAATGTGCAAATGTAAAACCAACTTTACCTCAGTCAAATGTTGTGCCTTTTATTTCTGAGGGTGAACACTGCAAATCAGCTATAATTTGGTCAGGAAATCTTGTCAGTTATTGTGGGCGCTACCAACACCTTACCTCATCATGGAAACCTGGGAGAAACAGAGTTTATAGGCCTATAGAAACTTAGCTGTTCTATAGGCCTATTTTGGTATATTTCTTTAGGTGTTTAACTGCAGTAAACTACATTTCCCCCTGTACAACTCATGTTTGCACCATGCTGATGAAGTTTCTCCGTCTCCTCCCGTCTCTCTGGTCTCATGCTCGACTGGCGAGTCACAAGTTGTGCTTTTTCCCTCCGCGGGGCGTTTCTGTTTCTCCCAGAGTCTCTCCCAGCGGATCACACGCGTCCATGTTCGCCTCTGTCTCACACAGCCATGCAGAACCATCACCTGAAGGAACATCTCTATAAAATCCTGGTGATCGGGGACCTGGGAGTGGGGAAAACCAGCATTATCAAGCGCTACGTGCACCAGAACTTCTCACCAAACTACCGTGCCACCATCGGCGTGGATTTCGCGCTCAAAGTTCTGAATCTCGACCAGGAGACCGTTAGGCTGCAGCTCTGGGACATCGCAGGTAATATTATTTAATTTAATTAATTATTTATTTATTTTAATTGATATAGACCTGTGTATATATGTTTACGTGGTCCAGTTTGACGTCTAAAGTTTATTTGAATAGTTTGATAACGTCCTACATACGGATTTATTTCAACATATATACGTTACTCCTGTTTTGTAAAGTGATTAGTGATTTGTTATAGGCCTCAGTCTTTTTTTTTTTTTCTTGTCCTAAAGTTGTGAATAACACTTTTACACACACAAAAACGCATTTTTAAACCTTACATTGGGTCAAAATTTATAATTAACATTGGGTTTAACATTTAATTAAAACAATTAACGAATTTTAACCAAACTTTGCCATAATATGCCACAAACAAGCATTTATTTTTATTTTAAAATATGTGTAATATTTTCTTTACATGTTTATGAACATGTTTGGCATAATTAATAATCACACTTTTAATTGTTGAAATAAAATTTACGAAATTATAATATGCAAACCATTCTGTATTGTTCTAGTTCTACTATTAGTTTATTCAAATCGACACATCCGAAGGCCATTTTACAACATTTTCCCTCTCCCATGAGAGCTGATCGTGCAAGTTTAATTATATTGTTTGTTTGTTTTGTCGGAGTTTCTCCTTAATATCTTTCCTCACGCGCGCTCTAAAGTCTCTCTTGAATAACGTTGCTCACGCGCGCGGGCGCGCTCTCCCTGCGCGGTCATGTGTTCTTTGCTCATGTGAGGGAGATTTTCACCTAAAAAAGAAGGAAAACAGGAACTTCATTGTAAATAGGAGATGAAATGTAGAGGGAAATCAGAAAGGAGCATGATTTGCCTATGTAAAGTTGTTCTTGGGAGAACGAAAAGTTAGTTCTTGAGTGAATTGTGCTTTCACTTGACACAAATATAATAATATAGAAAATCCTGGACCACAAAATCAGGCATAATGGTCAGTTTTTTGACACTGAGATTTATACATGATCTCAAAGATGATTTATTATTATTAATATTATTATTTTTAATTTTTGGCAAAGATGCAATTATTTGATAACCGGGAGGGTTAAAAATATCTAAATACTGACAATTTAGCCTATAAATATAAAACCAACTTTACCTCAATCTTTATCCCTCACATAAAACATACCTTAGAATGTTGTGATCGACCAATCAGAATCAAGAATTCCAGAGACAATTCCAACAATTAAATCAAAGTTACTTATGTGTGTTTTTGAGGTAATTTGACATAATTAAAATCGACGTTTTATAAATGTACACAAAATATTTATCACCCAGGACCACAAAAGTAGTCATAATGGTATTTTTATTCAGCTAAATTTAAAGTTATGCATAATCTACTGTATAAGATAAATAAATAAACTTTTCATTGATGTGTGGTTTGTTAGAATTGACAGTTTGTATGAGGTACAACAATTTTTTAACATCTACAATTTGATGGTTTTAAATAAAGTCTAAATATTTTAGAAAATTTAGCCTTATATGTAAATAAAAAAAAAACTAAGCATTAATAAAGGCGTTAGGCTATATTTACAGTAAAATCATGACCAAAATTAGTTTGTGATGTAAAAAAAATGCAGTGTTCCACACAATTATTTCATGTTCTCCCAACACAAATCTATTAAGATAACGTAACTAATTATATAATCAACATAAAACAATGACGTTTTCCCAAAAAAATCTTCCTAATTGTGTTGTTTCAGCTTTTTTTAATTAAGTAGTTTAAACAAGTAACAAAATAAATATGTTTTTGATTAGATTTTGAGACTAGATCTTCTATTAAATAGCTTGTAGTCAATAATAATAATAATAATAAAATGACTCATAATAGGTACTCAGTGATCATCATCTTGTGTGTTTCTGTCTGGATGGTGGTGAAGGTTGTTTCCCCACACCATATCTATGGGAATGACCCGTGGCGTCAGGTGGGGCGACGCTTTCCCTCGCCCTCGCTCAGCTCAGTCACTCTGACCATGGCGAATCCCTGCCCGAGGTTCTCTCACTCTTTAGTGAAGTTCAGTGGTGATGCTTCAATTGGTGGGTGATTGTAGGCTGGGGTCCTGATCAGCAGCTCATGGGTGTTGTGCTGAGAGCCAGTTTACCTCACTTACTGTGGTATAAACATTTGACATTTTGACACAAGGTACAACAGTTTAAACAATTTGATGGTTTCAAAATAATCCCAATATTTTATAAATATTAGCTTTATACTTGATTAAATTAAGTTGTAAGCACTGATAAAAACATTCGGCTATATTTATAGTAAATTCATGACCAGATGCATATGCACATTACATTGTTGAATTTTGTTGTTAGGATATGTAAACATGCTTTAAAGGTCATTCCATTAGGGCTGCCTAATATATCGAAAAAGTATCATTGCGATAATAGTATAGCCCATATATACAATATCCATACACTCACCGAGCACTTTATGTACACCTTACTAGTATCATGTTGGACCCTCTTATGCCTTCAGAACTGCCTTCGAGGCGTGGATTCAACAAGATACTGGAAATATTCCTCAGAGACTTTGCTCTATATTGACTTTATAGCATCACGCAGTTGCTGCAGATTTGTTGGCTGCACATCCATGATGCGAATCTCCCGTTCCACCACATCCCGAAGGTGCTCTATTGGATTGAGTTCTGGTGACTGTGGAGGACATTTGAGTACAGACCTAGAGATGTTTGTGCGTGAAAATCCCAGTAGATCAGCAGTTTCTGAAATACTCAGACCAGCCCGTCTGGCACCAACAACCATGCCACGTTCAAAGTCAATTAAATCCCCTGTCTTCCCCATTCTGATGCTCTGTTTGAACTGCAGCAGATCCTCTTGACCATGTCCAAATGCCGAAATGCATGAAGTTGCTGCCATGTGATTGGCTGATTGGAAACTTGCGTTCATGATCAGTTGGACAGGTGTACCTAATAAAGTGGCCGGTGAGTGTAGGATTTCAGTCATTCATGGTGAAGATTTATTTTTAAATATTTTTATTGTGTTTCCAGGTTTAATTAGCTCAGAAAATGTGATTGTTTATTTTAGTTTGGTCATTACATACAGTTGAAGTCAGAATTATTAGCCCCCTTTTGATTTTTGTTTTCTTTTTTAAATATTTCCCAAATGATGTTTAACAGAGCAATGACATTTTTACAGTATGTCTGATAATATTTTTTCTTCTGAAGAAAGTCTTATTTGTTTTATTTCGGCTAGAATAAAAGTAGTTATTAATTTTTTTTAAAACATTTTTGGGACAAAATTATTAGCCCCTTTAAGCTAATTCTTTTTTGGATAGTCTACAGAACAAACCATCATCATACAATAATTTGACTAATTACCCTAACCTGCCTAGTGCACCTTATTACCCTAGTTAAGCTTTTAAATGTCACTTTAAGCTGTATAGAAGTGTCTTGAAAAATTTCAAGTAAAATATTATTTACTGTCATCATGACAAAGACAAAATACATCTGTTATTAGAAATAAGTTTTTAAAACTATTATGCTTAGAAATGTGCCGAAACAATCTTCCCTCTATTAAACAGAAATTGGGGAAAAAAATAAACAGGGTCGCTAATAATACAGGGGGCTAATAATTCTGACTTCAACTGTACATATGTTTTTTTAAATTGCTGATTACATAGCATTTTTTTACTATACAGTAGCTATATCACAAGAAATATCATTATTGCAACACTCAACAACATTATCGCATATTTTCCCAGTATCATGCCGCTGTACATCCCATCATATCAAAAAGTACATTTCCCCCCCCAACTATTTATTTCTCAGCTGTTGGAGACATTTATATGTAGTATTTTCCATTGCAGGACTGCATTTCTGCTCTCTTTCTCACTGTTCGCTGCTCCAGTAACTTCTGACACTAATCCTGAGCATTGAGTCGTGGCCCAGATCAGAGCTTTAAGTTCATTGGCGTGAGGCTGGAGCTCACTGGAGTTGATCAATATGAGCCGCTGGAATGTGCTTTTCCTCATTAAAGATATGCAGGCTTTAGCTCCAACACTTGCAAATATGTACAAGATTCTCAGAGTGAGATCACGTGGATCAGGGCGAACGGACTAGTAAGAGTTGAGGTTATATTTACAAAACAACAGTCTAACTGAGGGAGTAGATAGTAGTTTGTCCACACCAAAACATTTTCGTTCAAAAAAATACATCTTTCTCTCTCCATTACCGCCTTCCATCCACACTGAGACAGTGTTTTAGCAGACGAACATGTTTCTTCATGCTGTCCGAAGTGGATACATTTGAAAACAGAGGCCTTTGAAAACAATAACAATCAGGTGACCAGGGGTCCGTTTTTCGTACCTTGCTTAAATGATCTAAGATGATTTGGCAGATCCTGGATCTGTTTATCTTGATAACTGATCTCTCGCTAATTTGGTTCTTCAAACAAGTTCGCGAATCAGATTAGAATGTCTGGATAAACTGATCTGAGATCGCTGCGTGTGTTGTGAAGGACAGATCTATCCATCCTCGAAATCATGATCAGCAATGCAACGATTGGCTGACGGCACAGCAGAGTAATGACATCATCTGATTAATATTCAATTATCCATGTGAGCAAAATTACATCAAATTAGCATTAAACCGTTTGTTAAATATGACAGTCAATAACCTTCCACATTTGTTGTGAGCTGCAGGCTTTACACTTTCATGTGTCAAGAGTATTCCTCATGTATTTCAATGCAAATCAGTGTATTTAGTTGTACATTTAGAAAAGATTTTCTTTCTTATAGTAGCCTTTTTTTTTAATCGGTGTAAAGAATAACTGGTTGTTTACAAAAGCATTTTCATATTGGTAAAGGCATCTGCAACTTTTGTGAAGCATCAAATCACCGGCGTATTAACTATCAAAACATGTTTATGACTGCATGAATGTATTATTGCTTTAAAAAAAGTGACATATCGTGCATTTCTATTGTAC